TCCTTGGATGAGGGAAATTGGTTGTGAAGGTAGTCTAAGCAGGTCTGTGGTTGGCAAGTGTCAGTTCTAGGTGGCCAAGCTGTCCGAAAATCAAGCACCTAGCTCTCCAGCAGAGAGAGACTCCTTTCTCCTATGAACAACCCTGCAATGCCAGAGAGAACAGTTCGTGGGCTTTCATCTCCCTCCAGCTGGGGAGACCTGCCAAGGTCCCACTGACTCTTCTGTCTGCTCACCACTGTACCCTTGTAAAAGAATACTCATGCACAGAGATAGATGGGAGGGGGTTGCTGTGGAGTTAACTAACTTGGGATGCTGAGATGAACAGGAGGTGAGCACATGCCCCCCTTAGGGATGGACTCTGTGCTCAAAGTTTCCCTCCTCTTCTGTTGCTGGAGGGCCCCCAGCCCCAGCCTGGGGGAGGGCTGCTCATTATACATCTCCCTGCTGAACTGTTACACATTTTTGCTGTGTTCCTCAGACAGAGGACTTTGCTACCAGCGAGCGGGAGAGAAACTGCCATCTGGGACCGCATGTGCTTTCCAGACAGATGGCTGACTATTCTAGTCATGTTTTATTTCTAGCAATGGTTCATACAGCAACAGCGCTAGTGTGAAAATGGGATGTGACAAGATGTGTATTGCTTACACCTTCTGTAAAGTTCAGATAAAACCAAGTTGTACAGAATGTAAAAATCAATATAATTAGGTAATTAAGAGAAGTGCAAACCCCTGATTTAATGCTGCATTGTGTTCATGTATATTACAGATTGTGTATATATGTGGTATGGAAGATACATATGTATGTTTCCACATTTATGCATGTATACAATGCAAAATAAATGACAAATCATTAATGTCTATGTTTATCCATTAAAATAAACCCAGGTACCTGTTCCAGCAGGCATTCCAGACAGAATTTCTGAAAACCACCCACTGTTTCACCCATTAGACCAAAGCTCCACAGGACAGGAAATTCCCTCCTTTGTATGACACAGTGCAAGGTCCTGGTTTTGCCCACATTCCTTGGACATTATATATGCATTCTGTAATACTTAAAAACTACATCTAGAAATGGTAGTAGTAAGAAGAGCAGCATCACACATGTACAAGCTCTTACTTAATAAGCACTGGTCAGGTGAGGATCATTGCACTGCTTTCTGCAGAGCCAAGGATTCAGCCCTGTTACTCTAAGCAGCATAGGGAAGCACAGCCACAGAAAGACTGACACATTTCAATGTATATAGAAGTGCTATAAGACCCATTTCTAAGTTCTTCTGCAGTTTAGGTTGGAATGAAGGCTTGAACTGAATGTATTAAAGGCCACTGATGACATATCTAGAGCTGTCTAGAAACAGGTTTTCCTTGCACATAGAAGCACCCTGCAGCTCAGCTCAAGAACTCACATCTCCCACACGCAGGCCTTCATACAGATTAAAAAAGAAGGAAAAGGTTGGCAAGGAAAGTATTAAAGACAAGACTACGTGTTCTCTAGCTGCCCAAAGGAGCCAGTGCAGATATCATAAGCTTCTAAAAGAGGCTGCTGCTGGACTCACATATGTCTGAGGCTACTCCTCCCATCACCCTGCTTCTTCAGTCTCAAGAGCAGTGAGGGCTCATCTCATTTTGCATCACGTGAGACCACATTGAACTAGGCAGGAGAGCTAATGGGAAAGGTATTACTTGATCTACACCTCAACACACAGATCCCACCCAAGAAACTCTTGTGCTCGTGGGCTCACAATCATCTCTTAAGGGGCTCGAGAAAAGCAAAGAAATAGCATTGAGGATCTGTTCCTATAATTACATGTTTGTTATAATGGGCTAATGCAGAGCAGTAGTGGTAAGAGACCCAAATGCAGTGAAGCATGCTGAGGTCATCAGTGTACCTGTCCCTGCAAGGTTACCATCAGGCACGTGAGAAACAAAGTATGTAGCTGTCCTAACATTAAACGGCAGGACTGTGGCTCAGTGACCTCCGGTGGCAGCTAACACAGGACACTCGTGCACACAAGGCCCAGGAACCTATGCAGGGACACAAAATGATACTCATGGATAGATTTGGGGATGCAAACCAGAAACATTCAGTTTAGAAGCAAGAGATGAAACTAGTCAAACAATTTGCTATGGGCAGGATCCAAGCCTGGACAGACAGAAAAGTAAGAAAGTGCCACCTCTAAATCACCCATGACCGACTCAGCAAAAGACTTCTTGCACTCTCAGGCCTCAAAGTAGAGTGAAAAGAATGTTGCATAGAAACCAGACCACTTCTGTGGAGTTTTGGCAATAGCTAACTGTGCTTTTGTCACTTTGCAGCTCTCTGGGTGTCACTCAAACTGGAAATCTTCTAGTTCAGTTCCCATTAGGTGTAGATGTGTTTTCACACTTCTGCCTAGCCAGGTACTTTCTGTACCGCTGATGGTTAATTACTTGACAATGAATCACACTGCTCAGCAGGGAGGTGGGGCAAACAGTGTTATCTGAGCAAGTCATGTAGAAAGGTAGCAGGGAAGAAAACACCTCTGCATCAGGCAGGTGGGCACACATACAGGATTCATGAGGAATAAATTCAGAGAGGAATAGCCATAAATCTCCCAGCCTTGCCGCTGGGGCGGTAGTTTCTTTTCCCCCTCCCCACAACAGGGAAATTCTGCTCTTTCCATGGGGGGTGGGAAGTTGCACAGGGCTGCATTGAAATGTAAATTTACTCAAATTATTAAGCACAAGAGAGCAGCTCCTGCCAGCCCTTTGTTCCGCAGTCAGAATGTGTAATCTAGAAGAATAAATATAGTCAGATATCAGCTAAACAAAGAGACTCAGGGCCATGCATATTCAGCGACCCTCTCCCCTAGGACATCCCTTCCCTCTTTATCAGGGAGGCTCTTTCTGCAGTCAACAATTGTAGATCAAAATGCCCTCATTAACCAGGGCTGAGATGAAAACCGATTGCTGTTTCATACTGAGGGTGAAGTCCTTTATTTTTTCTTCAGGAGCAGAGATCTCCCTACCTCCTGCTTTTCTCATCTGCCCCTTTGCCATCCTGTGAAGACAGGGCAGGGGTGCCTCTGAAGCCCACTGGTGCTACTCTCCTGTCAGATAGGTGAGGTAGTTGCAGGACAAAGTCCCAGGGCCCAGTAGCTAGCGTGGCTCCAAGAACTGCCCTACACTTTGCTGCCATGTCCACCTCTGCTCCAGTAAGAGGAGAATACCCCAAGGAGGGGGCGGGCAGGCAGACTACAGGTCTATGCAGGCTGCCCTAAAGAAGGTAGAAACCACCACCTATTTTCTCTGCCGCTTACAGAAAGGATTATGTGTAGTGAGCCTGACAATCAATGGAAACTCCTAGAGATGCTTAGATAAAAAGTCCACCCCAAGCAACCATTGCCTATGTTTCTTCCCACAAGCCACTCATCTCCCACAGCAAGGGAAGCTGAAGTCACCCTCAGTGGTTCAAGTCCAGCTGCCTTTGCAGAGCTGCAAGTTCACACTCTGTGCTGTCATAACTGAGAATGTCTGCTACCTCAGCTCTCTGGTTATATGAGAGCAGATGATCACACTGGCATGAAAGTGGCTGGTAACTGGATGGAAAAGATAGGCCCACCTTCTCAAAGCCGTTCCACCAGCAGTGGAGACCAGCATATCAACCAAGCAGCCAAGGACTGTATCTGCCCCAAGCCACAAGGAGAGGTGGCTGGGCAAGGAGTAAGCATCAGGCAAAGAGAGGTGCTCTCCCCACTCACTGCTGGGGTCATTACCTAAACACAGCTTCTGTGTCTCCAGTGTTGTCAGTCTCACATCTGTCACTACCTGTAAATACACTGCAAAATTTAAAGATGAAGTGGAGAAGGATGGAGGGGAAATCAATTTGGCTGGTTTTGAGTTATATGAATATAATAAACCCTGAGTGTCCTGCTTCTGGATGCAGTTTGCGCTTCCAATAACTCAGCAATATATTCATTAAACAAAGAGAGGTAAAAGCAGCAAGCCATTAAAAATAAAGCATCAGGAGAGGGAAGACCATGCAGGCTGTAAATATCTTTTACTATTTTTCAACCTTCGTTTTCTTATCCCTGCTCATTCACTAATTGACCTCTGGATCCTGCTTCTTAGAGCAGTTTCCATCGCTGCACTTGGTCCTTCAAACACAGCTTGCAACAAAGGATCTCAGGAACTCTCCAAATGCAGAATAAACTCAATTGTAGACCTCCAAATCAGGAGACAGGGTCTATCACACTCATTAGTGCTGTGATGTAACACCCCTTGCACAGGGCCGCAAAACCCACAGAATCAAAGATCAGGTGTTCTAGGTGAAAAATACTTCCAGTTTTAATCTGTTTGTGCACTGTGGACAGATAATCCACACATGCATATGAAATGGCCACCTTCTGGCATTTCAGCTTTATTGCACAAAATCTACCGTAGCTACAGACAGACTCTTCTTTCTCACCCATATGGAGGCATTCTGGCCATAGGGCACTGCTCCCTGTCCTGATCCAGGCAGGACTTAGCTCCAGATGGCAGTCACCAGAGCCTCAACATGCTGATCGGTACTGAGGACCAGCACACATTAGCACTGCGCCATCTGGAAAGAAGGGTGTCCCACTCCATGACAGCCAATGGATTTTATCACTGCTTTCCAAATCCTGAAAAAGTTGAGCCTATTATATTTAGGCCCTCCAAGACTAAAGCTGAGCTCACCAACTTCCTAGTGTGGCTGATGGGAGGATGCCTCTGACCTAGCAGTGCCAGAAGACAGCACCTGGCTGGCTTAGCACCCTGAAAAGTCTTCCTAACAGCCAAGATAGATCTCATGCTGATATGGAGAGAAGCAGTTACTCAGCAGGAGGCTCAGCTCCATCTCTGCAGCATCTAGTTATTCTCTGGAGTTCATCATTCTCTGCATGATCTCATTTCTTCACAAGCTTTAGAAACTTCTCAGAGCACCCGCCAATATGACAACAAAACAGGAAGTTAGGCTTCCTCACATTTTCCACAATTAAGAATATTCTTGCTGAAGGAGGCAGTCTTAAGTTTGATAAACGCATGAGTTTTTTCTGCCCCAAAACAAGTGATAGGATTTCTCTATTGCTTGCCTGCAGGCACTCAGAATGCCACAATCCCTCCTTTCCATGGGATATTAATAAGCAGCCTTCTGAAGTTCTTAATGCCTCTCAAAGCTCACAGCATATGTCAGTTTTGAAGGAAATTGGGTTAAGACCATAAAGGCTATTAGAGGAGTTTTGTTACGTACTGGCTCTGCAAGAGAGAAGCTACAAGACAGGGACAGCCTGATGATGCTACGGAACTTACTGGGCCTTGGAGAGCAAAAAGCAGGACGAGGAGCTCCATATCGTATGCCCCTTTGACAAGTTATCTGCACCCATTCCCTGCTAATGTTGAACAACAGAACAAAGGTCAGACAAGTTCATCTGCTTGTTTTCTCTGAGGAAAAGGTATGTTCATCAGGGAGGGAGGAAAGATGGTGCACCCCTGGAGGTCCTTACCTCATACATAGGTTGATCCCACGGTTGATGAGGTTCATGCAACCTCTTGCTTCAGGCACAGCATAGGACATCAGTCAGTTCAGCTCAGCCCAATCTCAGGAAGGGGGAGAAGAAAAAAAAAAAAAAGAAAAGGAAGAAGTCAGAAACAAAAGCAGAGATGTCCAAAGGTGCCAAGGAACTGCTCTCAGCCAGCCAACACCCACCTCTGTATTGGGCAGGTGATTGACACTATGGCTCTTTGGGATAAACAGTTTAAATAGCCACTTCTGACTACCAACATGCTAGACAGAAGTCCCCTCCATATAGCCTTCTGCTGCAGGGAGCAGACTTGCTACAGCCAGCATCTTTCACTCAGAAAGCCTGTTTTTAACTACATGTCAGTTAAAGTTCAGCCTTCTTCCCCTGTACCACAGCTTTTTTTCTCACTATGATTTTACAGTGGTGCAAGCTTAACTGCGTATGAATCAGAAGAAAAAGAGAGCAGAATCTGGCCTCAGCTAGTTACATTTTGCCCCCTAAATGAAGTCACATTTGATCAGGAATCTCCTTTTCCATCTATTCATTCTGGTGCTAGAAGGATATTTCAGAATGGCACTCTACTTGAGCAGTTTCAGACAAGATATCTTGCGCTGTATTTTCTAGGGTAGGAAAAAAATTAAATGCTTCTTATCCCCAGGTACCCTCTGATCCATACACTAGTATATAAACTCACTCAAGATTTGACACAAAACTATTAGAAAGGGGAAAAAATAATAAAAATCAAGGCTTTTCAGATTGGCTCATCAATGAATATTAATTTCTATTGTCACACAGTTGACTTGTAAATCAACTGGATCATTAACTCAGACCTTTTGTGTAGTAACATTACAGGATGTTGCAAGTTACTTAGACACTGTAGTATTTCATACACTCCCACAGCTTCGAATGCAGAGTTCTGCTCTCAAGCGAAGAGCGGCACAGCTCAAGTCCAAACATAACCAGGCAATGCTCAACCTGACAGCTACGCTGCTGTGACTGTACTGGCTACCTGCACGGCATTTGCCAAAACAACCACACCACACTAATCTTTCTAGCCAAATAGTGCCTTCTGCTGGATAGCTTATTGCCTATGCATACTGGAGTAGCAGGACTAATGAAAGACCCGTTTCTGCCAAGACAAAGGTATCCATAAAGTTTACAGGTCTGGGCAAAAGACTCAAGTTTTAACTAAGGATTTGTGGCTCTGCTGAGAATAGCCTGAAGTTTCAGGGAGTGAACAGATCTATATCGATTCACAACATCAAAAGGCCCAGATCTTGTCTGTTTCATATCTATTAATAATAAGTATTGACTGTAATAAACCAATTGAGAATATACTGCTGGATCTCAGTCTGCTGTGAATACTGAATTACTGGAGTGATGTGAAGCACAGTTTGTTTGCTTCCCAGGCTCTTGCTGCCATAGATGTCCCATCTTTTGAATTCTAGGCATTCCTGACCATTCTCCTGCAGAAAGGCACAAGTGTTCATCATCTCTGAAGGAAGCTCTCATTTGCTTTTTCTCTAGAGAAAAGCAATGAAGTTAAAAGCCAAGGGGTTTTCAAGCAGTAAGGAATGCTAACATAAGATGCTAATTCACCTGTGCAGCTTGCAGGATATTATGACCTATGGGATTTCACGGAGATTCATAAAAGGAACTGAGGATTTTCAGCCAGCTCTCCTTGTCTGGGAATGGACTTGGTGCAGACGTGCTCACGGCCGGTCAGGATCATCTGGGCTCAGTGGTTCAGCCTTGGGGCACAAAGATGCAGCAATATGTCTCCTGCCCAAGGCCTACCCAGAAGAGGATGATACCTGTCTGAAAGAGCATTTAACCTCCAGTACAGCCAAAAGGGGCTCAATGAGCTTCAAAATATCGTTCCCTGCAGTGCTACTACTCAGTCCAAGTTTTCACCAGGACCTACACAACCACCGCTTGTCCATGTGACAACACATGCCTGACATGCTGCTGTTCCAGCAGAGTATCACCGAGATAGACTCACTTTCAGAGTCCATATGCAAGGTTTCTGAGCCTCGCTAAATCTCTTCCTCACGCGCAGTCAGTTCAGTACAATAGTGTGAAGGAGGCAGCCCATACCCCAGAGTCAGAAAATACTGTATGGCCACCTGAACATAAACACTGAGCACTGCTCCTGTATGTGCTCCCCTCCAACAGCTACTCATTTTCAGGATAGCCATATTACCCAAAGGTATGTCTAGTTCTGACCAGTTTCATTCCTCCAGACCTGCAGACAGAAGAGAAATCATACTTCCTACAAATCCATGCTCCTCTCGTCCTTACACCATCACTGTCACACTGCCTTGGCTGCTACTCTGCTGCTCATCACTGTGTATGTTTCTCTTTTTACAGACAGCCACCATGGCTAAAAGAAGAAATGTCTGCTATAAACAAGGCTATGCCACGGATCAGGAATGAATGGAAGAGCTGCAGATTAGGAGAGGTATTTACAGCATATACTGGTAGGTGTATGGGGCAAGAGTTGAACTGCAGAGAAATAGAGCTCAGCCACACTATCCTACTTTCTCCTCTAGCTGTATCTATTCAGTCCCTTATACTCAGAAGTCTAGTGCTGTGCTTTGCTTTTGAGAGCACAATCTTTTTGTAAGGAAAAAGAAGCCTAAGCTATTACAGAGCAGGTTAAGCACTGGGCAAAATAAAGAAAAGGTGGTTGTGGAGGAGCAAGGGTGTCTCCATTTCCAGTTCAACAGCGACCTCTGGTCTCAGCAGACTGAAACGCAAAAGTCTCTTACTAGCTTAGTTTAGGGACCTTAAGATAGATCATTTTGGTCTGTTTTATCTGTGGGGAGTAAGGACACATCTTTCACATGTGGGCAACCACCATGACCTTCAAATCCCATCAGATGAAGCCGAGGGCTTTACAGACCCAGCAGTTGTTAAAGCATCCTAGGATTTACCTTCTCCTGCTTGGCTGATATTTAACCAGATGCCAAGAAAGACAAGGACACCTGGTTTCTAAATGTATTGTTTTCAGCACACCCAAGAGGGAATATAGATATATGTGCATTATCACACACACGAGACTTGCATGGAAACTCTTAAAGAGAGCTATGTAACCAAGACAAACAAAAAGAAGGGCTCAGCTACTAAACATACCAACTGCTCCTTAAAATCTGGCAGAAGTAGCAAGTGTGGTAGGATAGCTGCAATACCATAATGCAACACTCTGACACCACATACACCAAGCCAGCTTGAACTGTCCAGCCAACAGAATCATTTGCAATATATCAAGCCTAAAAAGTCTGTTTCAGCTCTTCAATATAGGGCATCCTTAACACTCTCTGTACCCCTCTCCAGTGCTAGTCTCAATTCACATTGCCACAGCAGAAGTTATGGGATGTCTAGGACTTTTCTGATAGTCCACAAAACATCAAGCCAGATCACAACTCTGCTACTAGAATTCCTTACTCTCACAGCAGCTGAGAGATAAGAATCCCACAGGCAATTCCACCTATACCATCACCAGGGGTCTAGCACCAAGGTCCTCTGCTGGGCTGTAGAAACCAGTGACAGTTCTCACCCTAGCAAACTCCCTGAAAGACACATGGTCCTTAGGAACCTAGCATGCTACAGAATACCTTCCCTCTATGTCCTGCATGGAAATGTTCCACAAGAACTGGGATTCAAGAACAATGTGCTTCCTTGGCTCATAAGTGAGGATCAACAGGCCAAATGTTTTTCTCTTGCTGGCAACTGAAAGATGCATGTGCCCATGGTAGTGCTTCCCTGGTACCAGCTGTGCCTCTCCACCCCAGCATACCCACACACAGCAGTAGAGCCACTCTCCAGCTGCTTCTGCCACTTTGAACACTATGGTGCCCAGTGCCCTGCTCCAGAAAGCCCCAAGCGTTTGAAGATCTGGTTTGGGCTAAACTAAAACTAAGTGAGAATTTCGCACCTCCAAGCTCCAGAGATGTCTTAGAGCTCCAAAAACGATGTTAATAATAAGCTAAATATCCCAATAACTAGATCAATCAGCTTCTAGGACTTCATGTAACCTCTACATGGGAAGGCTCCGCTCGTTCTCCATGCACACTCACGGAGCTGTACCGTTAAGCCATTATGACAATTCTTACAACAAGCAGCAAAGGAAATGAAGGTCAGTATAAAATATTATTTCAGCTGTGGATTTAAGAAAACAAAAAAGTCTAACTGAAATTACCTGGTTTTGAGTAAGACAGAAGATCTGTTAAGCAACTTTAAAATTGCAGCAGCCAAGAGCGTCCAAAGCTCAGACACAAATTGTTCAGAGAATAGAGAACAGGTCTCTGCAGCTCCTGAGCTTCATCTGTACTCTCCCCACACATAATTTAAAATTAAAAAAAAATAATAAAAAAAGGCATTTACAAACATTGCCTTACCAATATAAAACATCAGGTTGCGTGGAGTTTCTAGGAAATAGTCATATCAAATTTAACAACTATGGTGCAGAAAGTTTGCCTTATACTTTTACAAGTTTGTATGGCTTAATTACTGCTCTACTTATACTCACAATATTATATCAGTTGTGTTCACAGGACTATACCTGCATCAACACATACAGAGCTCCAGACAAACACAGGGCCCAGAGAGCAAACAAGGGCAGAGATCTGCAAACTATGAAGTTGCAGTTCGGTGAAATTTACTTATATAAACATATGCAGAAGTCTGTGCGCATGTTGCTATCTGAAGATCTTACATAAGCCAAGTCCTTAAAGGTAGAGACATCAGTAAAAATGAAGATATCAACCCTTCTTTCCTGTTTTAAGAGATGGTTTGTCTGTTACTACTAGATAGAACATTTCTAACACCAGACCATATAAACAGCATCACCAAGTACCTCTGTGCTCAGCAAAAATGTCTCAACTATCATCAGCCCATCAAGCCATTACTTCTGCTTGCCTGTTCCCAAACGCTGGTGATGTGACCCTGTTGGGTGCCTGTCCTCTGAGGCAATGGACAGCCAAGTGCTAACAGCCCAGACTTGGACTCCAACCAAGGACCTAGAAGCCAAAGACTCAGTATCACTTCAGTCTTTCAGAAATCCACAGCCAAGGTAACATATTCTGCTTCAATAAAACCAAAAGCTTCCTGAGGTAGTCATACCCTTGTCTCAACAGCCTTCACAATCTGTAATGGGTACAAGTTTAGGCACATTAGCATCCATTCAATTTTCAGCACTTAGACTTCATAACTCTCCTCATTTTGTCACTCTTAATATTTATAAGACATCTAGCAAATGATTGATTTTCCTTCAGACCCCTTGTCATTCACAGTTGCTTATCTCTTGCATGTAGGGGGCAATCAACAGATTTATAGCAGCCCATAAAAGTTGTTACCAAAAGTACAGTTTCTTTTTGTGTGCGATAATTTCTAATAACTCTTATGCATGATAGCAATTACTGACAAAAGTCAGCCTCTGTTAATAGAGTTTATCTCAGTTCATCATATATCCTTTGTCAGTGGAAGCATTTTGACAAGCCTGGGGTTAATTAAAACCAAGAAGACAATAAAATACACCTAATCAAACATTACAGGTACAGAAATCAATTAGCAGATTTATGGCACTTTGGAGCCCTCTATAACATGTAGAATTCAAAGAAACTGTCAGTTCCATCCCCCCAAGACAGTGTAATTGAATTTCTAATTGAAACTATTTTTCAATAGGTAACACAATCCACAAAGTTTGATTTGCATTAAAGTAGCATCTGCAGAGGACAGAGAAATCTAAAAATAATAATAAAGAATTCCCTTGCTGGTCACATTGTTAGGGGCAATAATCATTATTATTATTTGCATATTTAAAATTTTGCAAAACCCCTTTAGAATCAGTGGAGTGACCAATTCTTTGCTGATACAACTCTAAACACTGAGATTCCTGTGGAAAGAGTTCATCTGGATCAAAATGTGGGGAAATCAAGAAGAAAATTCAGAATGAGCAGAACTAAGAAATAAAGTGGGCAGAAAACTGGCTGGGACTGATCAGTAGAATAAATTCCAACTCATGGTCCATTACCAGTAACATCCCTAAGGGATGGATGCTGGGATCAATGCTGTTTAATGGCGTTATTAGCAACCTCTATGATGGGACAAAGCTGTCTCAGCAGGGAGTGGACAACACCAGAACAGTGGGGGCAAGTCCATATGCTGGAGGATGGGACTGCTTTTCAGAGAGTCCAGTGAGGCTGACATTTGGAGGCAAATACCTCTACTAAGCTGTTTTATTTTTTGTCTTTCAGTACAAAGCTTCACACAAGCAATGCAGCCATTGCCAATTTGGACACAGTAGCCATACAGATCTTCATAGAGACCTCAAGATGATCACCCAGCTCCAAACTACATCTTTAAGACTACAAGAATAACAGGACAGGCTACAGGATAAACCCCTTGATCTTATTGTTACACTGTTTCTCTCTGAAATGCAATAAGACAGACCACATACATACACAGTTATATAGTCTAATTACATACAGTACTGTTCAGTATATATTACCTATATTTTACA